TATATATATATATAGCATCACAGTAGCCTGGAGGTGCAAGAGGCAGGCCTGTCACTGGAAGGTCGCCAATTTAAATCTGGTAGGAGGGGGAAATTATATCCCCATAAACTATATATTTATGTAAAGCCCTACTTAGTGTGTCTAAATTGTCAAATAAAACATGAACTTGAGATCATCTTAGCAAGTTCTCCAACTACACCCATCTTCAAATGTTACCTTTACTTTGATGAACACCACACGCCCCAAAAAAGTAAAAACGCTCAGAACAAATAGGTACAGTCAAAATTAGATTAAATGAAAGTGTTTAAAAGAATACTATTACTCAGGGAATAGCAGGAAGAAACATAAGGGCACAAGAAGAGACACAAAGCTCACAAGCTTCAAACACAGATGACCAAAAAAGTTGTAGTGCAGCAAAAATGAGTTAAGGGTAGTATAACATCTGTTTTCTTTGATTACACAAACATTATGTAGGAGTAGGTCACGGATAATAGGTGTTTATTTGTAAAGAATATTTTTAGGTTATTATATAATATCATACTACAGTATATTTCTAAATACTGTAACAAGGCAGTTCCTTCTCTTTCTCTTAATAATTTCTCTTAACAATTAAAAGAAAGGCAGATGTGAAATGTAAAAGTGAGATCTGAGGTTAAATGTGAGATGATATTTGGATGCAAACTATAATGTGATAGTCAAAACCCCCACATAACTGCATCATTTCCTACATACAATACAATACGAACAAAGACAGTAGAATTTTCAGCATCGTTTTAAAGATAAACGGAAAATTTCTGAATTTTTAACCTTATTTGACTTTGAAGACGGGGTCAGAGGTCCAAAGTAGTGACATTTAGTGACATTTAGAATCACCCTATATCATTCCCTATATGCATATATGTTGTCAGTATAAATAATAGCAGGTGGAAACATAGTTTTAATAAACAGCTCCATGAAGCATTCTTATCACTTTGACCTTCGGATCAATCTATTGACATTGAAGGAGAGGTCAGAGGTGAAATATGTTATTTGAAATCTTTAAATGGTATTTTCTATGTGTTGACAATACACGCAATACTTGTAAAAATCTATTTATTTATTTTTTGTCAATTTTCAACCAATAAATCATTGGGTTGACCTCAGAGATCTTGTTGGATGTAAGCCATCAGAATTCATTTAAATCTTTGTGAGCTGCCATGTTTACAGACAGTATGATATGCAAATGCTTAAAAAAAACATGACCTCTTTGGTAGAGGTAATTAAAAAGAATGTGTACCAGCGATATAGTAGTAGTCCTGAGCCAGACCACGCCCATCTTCATACATGACCTTTAATAAACACCTGCAACAGTTTTACACAGCTGCAAAACTACTGTACTGACAGATTCAGTCCACAGAACATAAACATATCTTCACAGGACAGCCTGACAATATTATCATCTGATATTGGCCTAACACAGATATCAGCTTGTTCAACATTACACAACATAATGCAGAAAAACATGCCAGGGGTTATTCCGAAAGTGTCATCAAACAATGGTCATCACACAGTTTGAGCAGGAGAGCAGCTCCAACTCCTTGCTTGCAGCACTCTCTGCGGCACATCGCAGAGTAGCATCACAGCCGCGCAGGTGATGAGTCAAGTGCGGTCTTTACATTAAGTTGCAAACTAGCTTGTGACATAATGACCCCATCATTTTCTCTGCTCAGTATAACTCAGTGTGTGGACAAACAGTATCTGTGCATTTATACAACAAATATCTGCTAATAAGCTAATATTGTATCCCCCCAAAACCATAAAAGATGCCAAAATCATTCATTCGGGCTCTAATAAATACCATTTAATACACTCCAAACCACCTTTGTGGTTATCCCTGCTACCCGAGGTGTCCCCTATGGCCCTGATGCCATACACACCAACAGGCAGTCCAACTTAAAAGAACACAGCAGGTAATTAAATATATTTTTTGCAAATGACAAACTGTTCATGAAATGGTTTCTCGGGAGCAGCAGGGGGTCTTAGAGGGAGCATGCGGGGGTCCAAATCTGAAAAAGTGATAGCTTAATCTCTGTACTCTGAAAATTTATTGGAAAATATGTGAATACAAAACGTTTATTCTGTATTTTGTGTTCAGAGATTACACTGCAAGGAGTGTCCCATGAGACATATTATTCTAAATTGGGACGCTGTATCTCTTTTGAGGTGCCTGACATAAAAAAGCTTCCTCACTTTCCTTGTTGCTTTATACCAGAAGCTCTTGCAGTTTCATCCAGCGTCTGTTTCTCAGAATGATTGTGTAAGATAAACTCTCTCTCTATTTTCACACTGATTTCTAATGGCAGAGACAAAGGGCACCTTTCAGAGAACAGCTAATGGGCAGCAGCACGGCACATAGACTTAATGCTGATGCTTTTAGTACATGCTGCCTCAGCTCTAGTTGCCTGATTGCACGGACACCTCTGCCTGAACAGTGTCTTATTTGGTTTTATGTTATTAACTACTAATTAGAGGGGAAAATGATTGTGTTACAGCACTGGAGACTTCCACCATTAGCTGAGCACTGAGCTGGGCTGAATTGCACAAGAATTTTTGTCACATATCAAAGTCCCCTTTGATGAAAAATGAATTTCACATTTCTTGATGGGTTTTGTATATCAGTCTTAGTTAATGGTTTGAAGACCAGTCATGGTCCAGCCTACATAATGGTAATGTTTAATCCACGAGAAGGCACTTTTCTGTGAAGTAAAAGGTATTTTGTGTCATATAGAACTAGTTTTTTAATGTACCAATATGTTACATGAATAACTTAATAATTAAACAAATTATTCAGTACAAGTCTTGCAAAATGTTGGCTAAAGGACTTTCTCTGTTATGGACAATATGGGTAAATGGCTTTCTCCCAGCAATTAGAGGCATCCAGGCTTTGAGGTAACAAAGCAGGCCAAAGCCACCATGCTTCACAGTTACCATAAGGTATTGCAGTTACCAACGGCAATACCTTATGTCACACCATGTCTTTCCCCCAAGAAAAACTACAGATTTCTGCTTGTGTCTTTCAGATTCATTCATGTGTCTGTATTTTTATGCACATATACTGTACACACTATTAAATGAAAAAGAAGGTAGCATGGGCAGTAGATCAAAGACAGTTATAAATTATCAGTCATTATTCTCTTATTCACTTTGGGAGAGAAAGCCTCCAGGTGGGGGTGGTGGGGCATAAAAGGACGGTTTCTTTTAACCTATGTCTTTCTGAGTTTCTGAGAATGTTGCCTGCTGTTTAAACCCAAAAATAAAATTTCACCTTAGGCCCAGGAGGCTCCTCGCCTGACTAACAGTGAATCACAGCAGCAGTCAGCCATGTAAATAAATTGGGATTACTGCTCTGCCTGAGGCTTACCTCAAGAGAGCACATGTCTGAGAAACAGTCATCTCTCAAAACTGATTAATTCTGTTCAAATATGACAAAGGATTTCCTCTCTGAGACAAGCTGAGAACAGCAAGAGGCTCAAGAGGGGCCTGACTGCATATCTGTATTAAACTCACATGCAACCATATACCCTGCCTGCTGTAAAGAGCTGCCTGTTGATGGCTGCCCCACGTGGCCTGCTGACACAATCACACAAACACACACACTGGGGGAACAGGGAAGGTACAAAAGGTGGGTTACTCTACAGTGGTCCTGTCTTTTGTTAGGTGAAGATACAGGAGGGACAGGCCACACAGGCCACACAAAGGAAAGAGACAAGGCCTTTCTATCTGTGTCTGCAGCACTCACCTGCACAGGTAGAGGAGGGAGATCTGCGGAAGGCCATTTCACCAACTCTGTTACTCAAGCAGAGACTCGTTTCCCATAAGTTCCCAGTCAGCCAGTCAGTTAACCATGCTGTTTTGCAGAGAGCAGCAGGTAAGAGGAAGAACAGCAACACTCTGACTCAGTAGTACAATCCTAAGCTCTGATGAAGCTTAGCTCTGATGGGATAATGCTCCTCTCCAACTGGCTGGCAGGGCGACAGAAACTCTGTAGCTCAGCTTATTGTGTACACTTGCTTAATGCACTGTACACCAGGCTCATGGGTAAGAGACCAGCTGGCTGATTGGGTGTTTATAGCCCCGCATACTTGAGCGGAGATTATTGGGGCATCAAATGTGCAGTAATTACTGTGCCTTCTGTTTAGATTTAGCTGCAAACCTGTGGTGTCTTAAAGGACTTAAGACCAGAGAGAGGCATCCTGGGACAAATTAAAATTATACAAGGAGCAGAGAGCGCGATAGTGACAGTTCGCATTAGGAGCAGCACATACGGACTTTAGGTGCACCTTCAACAGGGCAATAACAAGTCCAGATATTACTAGCTAATTATAGAGCAAGAATAAAGAATATATGTTCAAGCAAGATTGTGAAAAACAGCCCTATACCTTTATATGTGCACTAGGTTGAAATGTAAAAGAGTCCTTTGCGACATTTAATTCCCTTTTGTCATTTTAATCATGACATGGAGATGAGTCAGGTGTTATCACTTGTGGTACTTGTTTATGAGTCGCAACAATTTTATAGAAGTGGCCTGATTTTGATCTTTTCAAATTTTTTGTACAGTTTTAATGAGGTTGAAAGTCAGTATGTTTAAATATTTGCAATGGCCACATTTACACATCTCTCTTAGGCCAGTTTTTTTAGTCATTTCTTTGACTGGCTCCATGTCCTTCTTGAAGGACATTCAAAGCTCTTCTTTGGATATTTGTTCCTTGGTATGTTAAGGTTCTGGGGAGGCCAATCCATGACTGATAGCATTGCATGTTGTGTTTTCTCTCTCCAGGTATGCTTCTACTCAATTTCCGGTGTGTGCACAGTGTGCAGTGTGATTTACAGATCTAAAATTTGATCTGCATTCACAGTTCCATCAAATTCAACACCATTGGCTCAAATGCTACTTGTGTTTCCCTAAGCTCAAGAGGACTGGTTGGCTGGTTGAGAGGGTCATGGCAAATGTGATTATATAAATATGATAAATATAATAAATGTTGGTTTGTAAAAAAATTGTTATGCTACGTTAGGGCTTTTTGGTTGTTGTTTGTGTTAGTTTTCCCCTTTTTATGTGTCTCCTATATCAAGATATACTCTTGTGTGTCGCTAGGGGACGTCAGTTATGTTATGTTAACATTAGCTGTGTTTTTCTTTGCTGGCCTGATTTTGAATGGGTCCTGTTTAGTAGCTACTTTTTCCAATTTGGATTTTATGGCCATTTTTACAATTTCTTCATTCGATTAAAATCAAAATGACTAGCTACACCTTTGTCTTTGACTTTCAGCTTTTTCTCAGGTCTTCTCTGCATCTCTCATGTTGTGCGTCAGGTCTTATACTCACTGCTGTGGAGGTTTTTTTGGGGGGCGGGGGGCTGTCACTTCTTTTTTTGTCCTCCAGTTATCCAGTTTTCTCAGAAAAAAGAACATACTGCACACTGTGATGTGCAGAACCACCTTTTTAGTGCAAAAATAATTTTTATTCCTGTCAAACTATTTAGCTGTGATTCAGCTAAATAAATGGGACCAAAGTATCTGTTTTAATCACCACGGTTAAAATGGGATTTGCATATCAGTAAAAGCATATATTTCGACCTTACTGCTTCTCTATTTCTTCTCTTGCAAAGTAATTAATTAAATAAATGATCTAATTAGCTACAGGTTTGTGTGTTACACATTAAACTTCCTCCTGCTTGGCCTCTCTCCTCAGTGACTAATTGTTCTACCCGATGGTAACTGATGCTAAATACAGATAGAGTGCGAGAAGCAGCATCAGGTTGCACACACACATGCATGCACGCACTAACACACACTTTCATGCGCCCTCGTATTCTGTCAGTAAAAGTATCTGATGTGGCACACTGACACACACGTGTGTGTACTCAGACACAACTCCACGTTCATTCTCCAGTTACAGAGGGTACAGATATGTTCAGGGCGTTAAATATTAAAGGCTGTAATTTTAACGGCTAGGTGTTGTAATCGTGGAAACCGGTAAAAGGTCATGTTCAGACTACAGACTGTGGTTATGTGGTTGACCATTTGGCGAAGCAATGTAAAGTATACAGGTACAGGGTGTGAAGCTAATATATGTAATATATAATATTTTGGCCTACTGTTCTTTACAACATTGCTTTAGTTCAGTTGTCATTTTGTTATAATATCTATAATATTTCAGTCAGGTTGAGGTCTGAACTTTGAGCTATTTCTTTTCTTTTTCGGCATTTCTGTTGCAGATTTTCTGCTGTGCTTGGGATCATTGTCCAAGGTTTATCAGCCTCGCATTTGACTCAGGAATTCTTTGTTATCCAAAGAAGTTAACTGTCGACTCAGTGACTGTAAAGTACCCAGCTCCTGTGGCCACAAATCAAGCCCAAATCATGACCTCTTCACCACCACGCTTGACATTTTTAATCAAGTATTTGTGCTGTTAGGCTGTATTTTGGTTTTGCCAAACGTGGCACTGTGCATTATGGCCAACCAATCTCCAATCTGTTCAAATGACATTGCTCCAGAGTTCTTGTGGTTTGTTAAGATACAACTTCTCTTTTTCCAGAGAAAAGAGGCTTTCCTAGTCTTTCTTTGATTGTCATGATCTTTAACATGCTGAGGCCTGAAGAGTCTGAAATGTAGCTCTTGAATTTTTTGCAGTTTCTCTTAAGGGGAATTTCCTGGGATCTCCTCTCCTGGTGAGATTGTGGTATTGTGTTAGCACACACCAGAATGGTGCAGATCAGCAAACTGCTATTTTAAACCTTGCCCCTATTTAAGCGATTTCTTGATTCGGTTGGTCTGGAAGATTCTTCTGCCAGTATCCCCAAGAAATACATGTGTAAAATGCAGTAATATTACAAATGGTTTGGTAATTATTTTGTTTACCTATCATGAAATTTCATTTCACATCAAATTTTTCAAAAATGTACACTACAGTGGCAAAAAAGATCAAAAGTAAGCGCATGAATGGAGACATCTTCGACAGCTAACATGTACTCTTCACACTCACACTGCGAATTCAGAGAGAAAGCATCAAATCTATATTTATGCCCTTCAAGCCACTTCAAAACACCCACCACAAACAGAGTGAATCACACCCACACATCATAGGCATATACATGCACATACGGTTTAACAGCATTTACATTAACATAGTTGTGCATACACAGATATGTGCACATGTGCATGCACAAGTCACACACACACAATTATTTTAGTGCCTTTGCAGTCTTTAACCTTTGGTTCTACACAGCCCTACACACACTAATTATTTCTAATTAACCTCAAACCAGGTCCTAACCCTAATATAACCAGGTCATACCCTCACCCGATGCTCCTAAACTCCCACTGTTCCTCACAAAGATTATACAGGATCACACACATTCATGCACACAGTACGTGATGGCACGCAAGCATGTGCACGCACACACGCATACAGACAATGGAGTGATTTCCCCCGTTGTCTGATCTGGTTCATGTCTTCCTGGAGAGGAACAAGAGATAATAAAGAAAGAGAGGGAATCGATTCTAGATGCTCCAGTTCACTCCAGTTTCTTCCAGTTCCCTCCCACACCAACCTCACAGCCCTGTCACAGCCGAGGGAGTTATTTTGTAAAAGCTACAGTGCACATTTACCCTGGAAAAAAAGCTACTGAAAATCATTTAGTTGCTGTTTCAGAAGCAGAAATATGCCCTGTTGAAATACTTCTGACTGTTCTACAACTCGCAGCATTTATGTGAGGCAAAGCCTCTGTGATGTGATCACCATAATAGTGTGCTCATCAGTAAATTTGACTCGCTCTCGGTTTGTTAGAAAGCACGATACTGTATATTTAAAGCACGCTGATTTGCAGTGGATGGATTCAATGGATTCAAGCTTAAGCAGCAGAGTTTCACTGTTCAGATCAAGCACTCAGGCCTATGCTGTTATCCTGGTGGATGCCAAACATGCATTTCCTCACTTGTGGAGAATATGACAAAGGATGACTCATCTAACCATACTGCTTCTTTCACCTCTCTGTGGATCTGTACCTATCGTTTTTGCACCACTATACTCTCAAAAGTGCATTCGCTGTTGTTACGAGGGGTTGATATATCCATCTATATTATCCCTCTATATTTAACATAATATAGAGAATTTTTGCTGACTTGAATCTGGTTCTGTGGTAACTTTATGACTCTCCCATCAAATTAAATGGTTTTCTGTTTTTTCCCCCTACATATTTACTATGAAACTAAAATTTTGCTGCACTGATTTCTTTATCATAGAAAAAAATACACACATTTAGGTTTTGTTACCATTTCTGGTGAAACACTACAGTGTTTGTGAGTCCTGTCATCAGTGCTTCAACTATGAGGACCATCTTTGGACACAAGCCAGCAGACCACAGATGGGTTATATGTTTTTAATCAGAGTTACTAAAAACAAATGTAATTAATGTTTCACAAAACATAGGAAAGCTTAGGTTCCAGCTGTTTGCAGCAGTCCTGTGAGTTTATTAAATACCTGCAACTTTGTAGGTTTACCTACAGCAAGAGAATCAAAGTGAGGGTTCCCAGAATTATTATTTATTCAGAATTATTCAGAATTCTGTTTAGCCAACAGACAAACAGGTGAGCTGCATACACAGTCAAATTTGGACTTTTTAAGTCATTTGTTACATAACAGCCATCCAGTTAAATAAAAAGATGTTTTTCTTTTGCAATTTTGATAGAAAATCAGGACCAACTGGGCTACAGCTCTTAAATACTACAGCTCAAGACTGAATGTTAATTATTTAAATGTACCGGCAATCTGAACATTTAAGTAGGATTATACTGGCACACTCTGAAGGTTTCTTGAAATGTGCAAACATGAATGGAAACAGTATATAAGATAAAAAAATTTAAAAAAATCAGCCTTCAGCAATAAATGGTAAA